GAACATTTATATCAGGTAGCTACGCTCTTTAGAAGGAGCTCTGGTAGCGTAGTGCCTAAGGCACTTGACTGCTAACCAGAAGGCTGGTGGTTCAAACCCACCAGCCACTCCTCGAAAGGAAGGGTGGGCGATCTACTTCCGTAACGATACCACCTCGGAAATCCAAGGAGGGGTCGCTATGAGTCGGATCCAACTTGATGGCACACAACAGCAACAACAACAACGTACTCCTTAGAATGATCAACCATGGGAGATCAGAAGGGCAGTATTTGCACAGGGAGATAGCTCAGGGGGCAGGAATGCATAGGAAAGGATACAGGGAAAAGGTAACCACAGGAAGGAAGTGGGAAGAGAACTGTCACATTATGGAGAATTGCAGTCAATGTCATGAAACAAAGTGTGTATGAAGTGCTGTATAGAAAATGAATCTGCTCTGTAAACTTTCACCCCAATCACAAAATGATAAAAGTAAGTAAGTAAATAAAATATACCTACTTAGGAGCAGTAGTCGAGATGGTGGGTTCTAGCGCCCAAGCAGGCAGGGTCCAGGGCCCTCCACCCAAGTTCACTTGTAGCGGTCCTACATTTGTCCATGTTGAACCTTGGCTGCTCTTCAGACAATTTCATTGGCACCAAGTGGAAACCATTCATCAGAACACACACATTTTACGGATGGGGAAACTGAGGCCCTGAGAGTTGAAAAGGTGTGTCTACGAGCACCGTTCTGGATGGCTCCTGAGCTGTTTTTAACAGCATCCCTGAAACAGTAACTTCATGGTCTGAAATGAGAAGGCTTATATGGGAGCTCTGGTAGCATAGTGGCTAAGACACTTGCCTGCTAACCAGACGGCTGGCAGTTCAAACCCACCAGCCACTCCTCGGAAGGAAGGTTGGGCAATCCTACTTCCGTAGTGATACTGCCTCGGAAACCCAAGGAGGGGTCGCTATGAGTCGGGGCCACTCGACGGCACATAACAACAACAACAACTGCCTCGGAAACCCAAGGAGGGGTCGCTATGAGTCGGGGCCGACTCGACGGCACATAACAACAACAACAACATAGTTCCTAGGGAAGAACAAGTTTGACCTGGCCCTCCACTCTGAAATTAAAGACGATTATTTCCGTTTTCTCAAAGCCTTTGAGTCATGCTGCTGTGAGGCCTGACATCACCGCAGGGGGTTGGGAGGCCCAGATGACCAGGTGGAGAACGTGAGGGGCTTTATGAAAAGAAATGGGCAAGACAGATTAACTAACGCCCAGGAGCTCTTGATCCTGTCCTTCCTCCAGAGACCAGAACTGAGTCTGAGTAGCTCTGAGGGAGAGAAGTGGCCCCTGCCACTGAGCTTGGATTACTGGCAAATGCCTCCTGGAGGCAACAGGCTGGCTGCAGCCTGTCAGGATGGCTAACGCTGAGCCTGATCTCAACTAATTCAGCAGCACAAGGGAAGGACCCCACCCGTACCCACTCTGCATCTCAAATGAATCAAGAGAACCAGTGAGACACGGAGGAATTGGTATTGATTTTCACTTGTGCAGGCTGACCTAACAAAACCAATTCATCAAGGGCCTGTCTGCCTCTCTGCTTCGATGCTTAGCCTAACCACGTGCAAATAAGTTGCACTAGCATCAAGGGTGATTTGTCAGGGTCCGGCTGGACTTCGGCCCTGGCTTTCGCTAAGGGGTTGCATACCAGGCTGGGCGAGGATCCCCCCGTCGATTAACAATGCTCTGGGAGGGTGCAGGATCAGGGTAACTGGCAGCTGCTGCCATGCTGGATGGCTATGCCCAGAGGGAGCTTTGAGCCAGGCTCTTCAACAGGCCTTGGCAGCGACATCCTGTCTTGTTTCTTGAGCCCTCTGACCCTTTCATTTGTAGGGATTTAGTGGGAGTATGTGCATAACTCCTTGGAAGGAAGGTTGGGCAATCCTACTTCCGTAGCGATAACTGCCTCGGAAACCCAAGGAGGGGTCGCTAGGAGTCGGGGCCGACTCGATGGCAAATAACAACAACAACAACATGTGCATAACTGGAGGCCGGTGGCCAGAGTTCTTTCTGACACTGGCTATGATGCTGGTGAAGTGTACCTGGCCCAGCTGTGAGGTGAAAACCTCACCTATGGGAATCTAGGCCCCTACGCTGGTCAGGGGTCAGACTAAGTGCCCAATCCCCTTTCTGCCACTTCCCAGCTGTGGCTCGGGGCAGCCACTGTTATACACTGAACTGTCCCCCTCAAAATGTATTGCACATCCTAACCTCTATGCCTATGGTTATAATCCCATTTGGGAACGGGTTGTTTTTTGTCATGATAACAACACAGGATTCGTATAGGATATGTTTTAATTAATCTCTTACAAATGTAATAGAAGGAGCAGATTAAGCAAAGATGGGGCAAGACAGGTGTTGAGACACACTGAGATCCCCAAGGACCCAGACAGCAGAAGCTGAAGAGACAAGGACCTCCTTGAACAGCAAGAGAAAGCCTTCTTCCCATGAATTCAGACTTCTGGCCTCCTAAAGTGGGAGAAAATAAATTTGTTAAAGCCACTCACTCATTATCTGTTACAGTAGCATGGGATGACTAATACGGCCACTGTGAGCTCTCTGTGCCTCACTTTCTTCATCTGTGTAATGGGGTCAAAATCAGGCCCTACCTCCTTAGGTGGAGGGTACCAGGACTGACTGAGATGGCAGGAAGGACTACCTCTTCTGCCAATTTCCCGGCAGGTACTGGAGGCTCACAGAAAGGGTGTGACCTCTAGGTCACAGAGCAAGTCGGGAGTGATGTCAGGAGGGATGAAGATGAGAGTAAGCATGACAGGCGATAAAAAGAAAACCACGTGAAAGACCTATCAGCAGAACAGGCACCCCAGGGAGAGGCACTCACCCACCCCAGGGAGATGTACCCCTGGATCAACCAGCCCTGAGACATCAGAAGGGCAGCACGTGCGGAGGGACAGCTAGACAGACAGCAATGCACAGATGAGAAGGGCACGGGGAGGGGTGGTCCCAGGGAGCGCATGGAAGGAGAGCTTTTTATTGTCGGGATTGTAATCAGGGCCGTGAAACCAAACGTGCACAAGCTGCTGAGAGTGAAACTAATCTTCTTTGTAAATCTGTCCTCAAATCAAAATCAAAAATTTGAAAAAAGAGAAGCACACCACGATCGCCTCCTGATTGCAGCCGTCACTGAAGAATAGGCCACAAGGGGATCGGGTCATAGCCACATTGAGGGGCATTGCTTGGAAGGTTAAAAAATCTACTCACAGACTTTTTTTTTTTTTTTAATATACAGGTTTCCTATTGTCCAGGACAAATGAGAGGTGGCGTCTCGCTGCACAAGGTTTGGGGGGGGTTTGTCTTGGGGCTCCATCCCCATCCCTTTCCACCAGCACATCTGGGGGTAGGTGCCTGCTCGCTGGCCCATTGGGTCCTTTGCTGTGGGATAAGGCACTGTGTGCTTACCAAGAAGGCGCTCACGCTGGCTGGTGAGTGTGCAGTGAGGCAGCCTTCTCTCAGGGGCTGCAAAGCTGAGGCTGTTAGGGGTCGGGCTGAACTTGGGGCTTGGGCATGGGATCAAGGGTGCGGGGCCCAGGCTATGGTACCACAACCTGGTGGGTCTGGTGCTACTGCCATCCTGCTGGCCCCAGTGCAGCAGCCTCAGGATGGGATCATGCCTTTGCTTCTCTTTCGGTCGGCCATGGCCCTCCGGCTGTGATTGGCTCTCGTGGCTTTGCTGGCTTCCTTCTTCCTGCGTTCCTGGGTTGTCTCACGGTTCTGCCCATGGCCCCGGGGGCTGCCGGCCACTGCTGTCGAGCTGTCGTGCCGGTACCTGAGGGAGGGACAATCCACCCCCAGGAGAAACCCTCAGTCAGCAGAGGCTCTGATGGGAGGCTCCCAGTGGGCCTAGGAGGTCACTGGGAGAGGACATACAGCCAGGACACCCATGTCCCCACTTTAGGGTAGGAGGAGAAATGGGGCCCAGCTGTGGGGCTCCGGCCGGCCTTGTGCCAGGCGTTTTCTTTTCTGTGGCCCTTGCTTCCACGGGAGCCCATCACCAGGCTGTATGGAAGGAAAAGCTAACAGTGACCACACCCCACACAAGGGGAGGAGCAGGGCTTGGGAACAGGCTACTCCCCTGATCCCACCAGGCCCACCTGCTACGGATGAGACAATTACTCCTGTTCTACAGTTAAGGGTCTCATTTGGTGGCCTCCAAAGCCCTAGGAGACTCATAGTCATGACCCAGGCCACTTTCAGACCATCTCAACTGTCGGGACGTGCCGTGCTCAGGGGGCTGGGATGAATGAGGAATCAGGGTTACTCTGTTCCACACTCAACAACTTTCTGTGGCTCCCCAGTGCTTTCCGAATGAGATCCAAATGCCTCCCCTCCTTGGAGAGGCCCTCTGCATCCAGCGGGCAGTGCTGTAGGGGGTCCCAGAGCCGGGGGACAACCTTGTTTGGCCTGAGTGACCTCAGGCAGGCCTCTGGTCCCTCAGGATCATTTCCTCATGGGAAACCGACGGGGCTGGTTAGCGGGGTCTCCGGCTAGCCTCTTCCAGCTGCCTCAGACACTCTCGAAGACTCTACCTCTCCCTGACCACACCCTGTCCTTTCCTGCCTTTCTGCCCAGCTTGGGCTGTTTCTCCATTTCCCATGACAAACTCCTGCTCAAACACCCCTGCCCCCACTGTGCCACTCTCAGCCATCAAGGATGCGTGTCTGTCTGCCTGTCTGTGCTCTCTCATGCCTCACACCAGCTCGCTGTGGACACATCAGGCTCCACGCTGGGTGATGAACCCCTTGCAGGGTGGGTCAGACATGCTTACAAGTGTGGACCCCAGAGCCGGGTACCTGGCTCAAACGTCATTCCACCACCTACTAGCTGTGCCACCTTTGGCAGGTTACTTAACATCTCTGGGCCTCAGTTTCCTCATCTGTAAAATGAGGATAATAACAGTGCTGCATCGTAGGGCTGTCATGGGATCTAAATCACCTAGGGTGGGGTTTCCTGGTGGGCAGCCGGGCCTTCCCCAGAGGGTCTCTCCCACCAGAAATGGCCCCTTGAATGCTCACCCCTTCCTGGCGAGAAAGGCCATGCGCCTGGCTTCTGCCTTCTCTCTCAGCACCGCGGGGTCCTGCACGAAGTAGTCGGGCTAGGGAGAAAGGGGAAGAAAAAACTACAATCACGACGCGTTCCACTGGGTGGTCTTTTTCAAGCCCACTGACCCAGGCGATTCCGAGGGCACTGTGCTGCTTTCTCCTCTCCGATTTTTGGAATGGCCTTCCAGGGCCCAGTGGCTGCCAGCTGCCCTCCTCCTGGCCCCCAGGGCCCCCGTAGGGCCTAATGAACTCAGCAGTTCAAAGGCCTGGCCTCTTGGGGTGAGCTGTAAGCCAGCAGCTCTCCTAGCAAACATGCTGGGCCTGAAAGATCCCCTCTTCCCTCAGGCAGCAACATTGGGGTGGCCTTGAAACCAGACACAAGGAACGGGGCTGCAGGACTCCCGACGACGCACCCTTCAGAACCTCCCCTCTCCCCCACCCGCCACCCTCCTCCACTGCCCACCCTGCTGCCTGCCAAGGAGGTACCTTGGGGGCCTGCTCTTTAGCCTCCTCTTCCTCCTCTTCCTCCTCCTCTTGCCCTTCGCTGGGCACCTTGGTTCTCAGCACCTGAGGGGTGGTGAAAGGCCTGAGGGTGGAGAGAGAAGGTCAGATCAAAGAGTAGGGCTGAATCTGGAGAGAGTGCCTGAGGAAGGGGGAATCCTGCTGGGGGAGAGGGGACGGCTCAGGAGGTGGGGCCAAGCCACAGCTGCATCAGAGCCCTTCTTGCCAGCTGGGCTCCAACCCAGGATTCTTCCTGGGGACCAGGGCCAGAGGAGGTGGTGGTGGTATATGCTGTCGAGTCGGACCTGACTCACAGCAACTCCTCCTTGGGTTGCCGAGGCAGTATCACTACAGAAGTAGATTGCCCCATCTTCCTTCCGAGGAGTGGCTGGTGGGTTTGAACCGCCAGCCTTCTGGTTAGCAGTCAAGTGCCTTAGGCACTACGCTACCAGAGCTCCTAGGGCCAGAGGTAGGGGCCTTATTTTATCAGAGTTGGGGCTGCAGGGTTCTCTAGTCCTCTCTTTAGCCAGAATAGCCTCTTTTTATCTGCATGAGGCGTCTCCAGAAGATCCCACTGGGGAAGAGTGTTCTGCAATTAAAAACTATTGTGCGGAAGCAAATAAATGCTGTGCCGCTCAGGCTGGGTTCAGCCGACCAGCAAAGGCAGCAGTGGGCTCGGGGGTGGAGGGGGCATTGGATGGGGAGTCAGGTGGCCTGGGGTTGGGCCCTGGTCCTGCCCCTGACTTGCTCCCGTGATCGGGACCTTGGGTTCCTCGTCTGTACAAGCAAGAGGCTACAGGGACGTCTCACAGGTCTGAGAGCTGCTGTGCTCCTGGAATTTCCCCCAGCGCCTGGCCTCACCTGCGGCTGATGAGCTCGTCATCTGAGTCCACGTCATTGGCGCCCACCTGGTTGCCATCGTATGTGTCATCGTACTCGTCCTCATAGTCATCACTGCGATAGGGCAGGCCCTCCCCGGGCTGCAGTGGTACCTGGGATGGCAGAAGCATGGGCTGGAAGGGGCTCAGGGCCCAGCCGGGTCTCCCCCCACCAGCACGGGGCACAGCCTGGGGGCCGCCTACCTCCTCCACCACCACGCTGTACTGCTCGTACCGCTGTCGCTGAGCTGCCACGGCTCGCTTGTCGTTCAGCAGGCTACGTGTGTTCTCCTCCCTCCTGGTGCCCGGGACAGATGCAGGGGAGAGAGGAAGGAAGACTGCTAGGGTCCTGAGAGCCATGGGCTCACTCCTCCACTTCAGACTGGTGTAAACTAAGACGACTGATGCTATCCAGCCCTGGTAAGGGTGGGTGGGTGTGTGGGGGGAACTCTCACTCACTGTTAAAAAAAAAAACAACCCAAACTCACAGCGACCCCTCCCTTGGGTTTTTGAGGCAGTATCTCTACAGAAATAGATTGCCCAACCTTCTTTCCGAGGAGTGGCTAGTGGGTTTGAACTGCCAGCCTTCTGGTTAGCCGTCAAATGCCTTAGGCACTACGTCACCAGAGCTCTAGTGCGTGCAAATGGCTCCAGCTACTTCGGAAGGCATCCCATGAGTAGCTATTACAATAGGAAGTGTACATGCCCTTCAACCAGGCCACTGCTCTTTAGGAAATGCTGGCCGGGTGCACAGAGGTCTGATCAAGGATTTCCTTTCCAGCGTCATTTATAACAGTAAGAAATGGAAAACCAGTTAATGTCTACGGCGAGTGGAACGGCCAAACGAACTATGCTACAGCTGTATTACAGAACGTCGTGAGGCAGTTTTCAAGAATGACAGCGATATATTTGGACTGACAGGAAAAAAACTTTAAGGCTTATTACTAGTGAGAAAAGCAGGCAACAGAAAAATACATGCAGTATGATCCTATCTGTACAAAAAGCAGAAAGCAAACCAAACCATCTCCATGGCACACAGTGTTAAGGAGCTCTGGAGGCACAATGCCTAAGGTGCCTAAGGCATCTGACTACTAACCAGAAGACTGGTGGTTCAGCCACTCCGCAGAAGGAAGACTGGGCATTCTGCTTCTGTAAAGATTTGCCACCTCGGAAACCCAGGTGGCTATGACTACGAGTCGGAATCGACTCGATGGCAGTGGGTTTTTCAGTTTTGAGCTGCGGCCTGTCGGCTCCAACTCATCACGTACAACATAATGAACCGCCGCCTGGTCCTGCACCGTCCTCCGAGCACTGAAAAGCTCAAGTCCCTTGTAGCAGCCGCTGTGTACTCTGAACGCCTCAGAAGTTAGAGGGCTCATCTTCTAACACCATGGCACACACAGCTGCGTCCCTCAGGTTGGTGTCCCCCCCCCCGACGCACACACACACACTGGGTGGTGCTGCCTGGCCCCACATCCAGGCCCCAAGTCCATCTAGGCCCTATAGCCTCCCAGCCCTGCCCCCTACAGCTCCTCCTCTTTCCCATGGGCCAAGGCAGAGACCCTTCTCTCTGCCCAATGGTGAGCACAAAGGCCAGGCCAGCAGGTGTGTGTGCATGTGTGATGAGTTACCACACTGACGGTGATGCCAACCTCAGTGACCCCACTGCCTTGGCGGCCCCTCCCCCAACAATGGCGGCTGCATGCCAGCAGGTGCGGTATGCGTGTATCCACACCCGATGATAGCACTGATTGGACAGCATGCGTGAGGCTCACGGGTTTTCACTCATTTTCTGAAGTAGATCCAGGCCTTAATTCCTAACCTCAGTCTGGAAGCTCCCCTGAAACCTGTTTGCCAGGGCAGCCCCTGCTGGTGTCTGAAACACTAGTGGCATGGCTGCCAGCACTACAGCAGCGTGCAAGTCCCCACAAGACCACACACGGACAGACTCGTGGCAGGACCATATATATGTATGAAAATGCATGCAGAGGGCCAGCGAGCCCCACACCAAATGACAACGGTTACTCCAGGGAGGGGCCTGAGGTCACGTAATTTCAGGGGGTGCTGGCCTCTTCCTCTCATGCCCACAGCAGCCCTCTATCTGTTTTATAGCTGGTGCTTCTATGTAAGATTTCACCAGAAGGAAAAGGTGGAAATTGGAACCTCCATCACGCCCCAGCTGAGGAAATTCCAGTGAGGTGGATGGGGAAGGGTCAGGCTTGGGATCACAGGGTGGGTAGCACAGCTCTGGTGGGGACTTAAGTCTCCTGACTGGTGGCTTTTCAAATCTGTAGAAAAAAACTACTTTGTCAGACACACCCGCCAGTCTGTGGAATGTAGCTTCTAGCCCTGCAGGGGAAATCAGTGAGCCGCAGGCAAGAAAGGCCAGCTGACCTGTGAAATCAGGGCTCTGGAATGTATGAGGATGGGGGGAGGGGAGAAAGACAAAGCTCACAGGGTCCCCTTGGCCTCCACATCTTCTATTAACTGCCTATTGGTGCCGGGAGGGGCAGGAGTCGAGGCTGCTGGGCTGGCTGGGGCCTGGGCCAGGCAGGACTGCAGCCCCCAGTGTGGCGTGTAAGGGTTTGGCTCCCTTCAACAAGTCTTTACTAAGGGCTACTACGTGCTGAAATAGGAGCTCTGGTAGCGTAGTGCTTAAGACATTTGACTGCTAACCAGAAGGCTGGCGGTTCAAATCCACCAGCCACTCCTCGGAAGGAAGGTTGGGCAATCTACTTCCATAATGATACTGCCTCGGAAATCCAAGGAGGGGTGCCTATGAATCAGGTCAAACTAGACGGCACATAACAACAACGTGGGCTGAAGAAGAATTGATGCATGAGGGTATGGTGCTGGCGAAGAATGCTGAAAATACCATCGACTGCCAGAAGAAGGAACAAAACTAACTGTCTTGGAAGGACTACATGTGCCAGGCAGAGGACTCAGGCTAAGCTCAGGGGAGATCTGGAAAAGAAGCTATGACTGGCCCTCCTGGAACTCAGTCTAGTTAGTGGGGATGACAGAGGGGTAAATGGTAGGCACCTGGAGCTGAACAGAGATGGGGGGGCCTCGAAACACAGAGACTAAGAGGAAGAGACACGAGCTCCAGCCCAGGGGGCTGGCTAGGGGCTTGGGGCGAGGTCATGGAAGGCTCTATGGGAAGCCCCGCCCAGTGGAAGGTGGGGTGCTGTTGCTCAGGGCCCAGGAAAACCGGTCCCCAGGAATTTTCCACATACACCGGAAAAGAGGACCGAGACCGGCTTGCACGGTGCCGGCTCTTCGCCAGGCTGGGGCTGGAGAAGAAAAGGCAGACGTCAAGTGACAGGGGCCCCAGCTTGCCCAGATGATTGGTGACACCAGTTGTCGTCTGTCCACTCCTTGGACACTGTGTCCTGGGGGTCTCCCAGGTGCAGGGCTCTGTCCCGGACCAGGGGACCAAAGATGAACGAGTAGTTCCTTTCTGCAGTGCCCCATGGCCCCCGGTCCATTCTGTCTGGTTCTGGGCAGCAGGAGGGTTCTGTGTGGCTTCTGGGTACCTGGCTCCCTAGACGGATGACAGAAAAGCCTGGCAAACGGCACTCAACCAGCACCGTGAACACCCAGCCAACAAGGTGCGACTTTGGCCCCAGGACCTCATTTGGTGGCAGGAAGGAAAATGAAGATCAAGTGCAAAATCAGCCCTGGATGGGGAAAAGGTCCGTTGGACAGCAAGAACTTGAGTCAAGTCTGGAAGCATCAACAAGAGTAGCCTTGGAGACTGTCTTCTGGAAGGTGCAGTCCTCAGCCTCCCGCCCAGGGAGCATGGAGGCTTCCCTCCTCATCTCCTCCAGCCTGTCCTTCAAGGCCAACTCAGACTAGCCCTCAGGCGATGAATCCCGCCTTTGAACATCTACTCTCAACCCTTCCCTTTCCAGGGGAGGACTCAGGGGATCCAGAGAGGGTGAGCAACTCTCCCAAAGTCACACAGCTGCAAACAGTGGGGCCAGAGCAAAGGTCTCTTGACTCAAGGCTTTGCTCTGCCACTTCCTGAGCCATGTGATCATGGGCAAGTCCCTTATCTTCACCAGAACTCAGTTTCTTCTCACAGCACTTGTCTCCCAGGATTGACGTGAGAATGAAATAAGATGATATATAGAAGCAGACCTGGTTGGTACCTGTTGGGCTCAATAAAATGAATCTGTTTTTTTACTGCCTTTAATGTATTAGTGTGTTCTGATTCTCCAAGACACAGACAGAATGAGCAGACTTTTATGGCCAAAAAATATTTTTCTGGGAGGAACACTTGCACTCATCTCCTGGGGCACAACTTTTTGGTCCAAAGGAGTTAAGGGAGCCCCTGTTCATGCAGACTGCCTCCTTCATTTGGCCAACACTTCCTGCAGCACACGTGCTCAGTGGCTACCTCACAGCCATCCTCCACCCCACATCCCCTCCTAATAGACTCTCATTTTGTTCAGCTCTTTCTACCCCTCATCTCTCTTCTATGACCCAGTTGTCCCAATGGGATGTTAGAGGAATCTGGGAACTTCTGGGGAAAGGCTTCTGGGTTTCTGAGACAGATACAGAAAGACCTATTCTAGACTTCCTGCCGACACTGTTCTTCCTAGAGGTGATAGGCTGCAGCCACTCTGTGGCCTGAGGCATCAGGGAATGGAAAGACACAGTGTCCCTAATGATGTCACTGTATCCCCACATTAACTAAGCCTAGACACTCACAACTCCCTGCCACGTAAGGGAACAGATTTCCTTACGACTTGAGCCACTGTGAGCACACTTTTCAGTGACCTGAAGAGGAGAACAACCGATCTGATTCAACATGCCCACATTTTAACCGAGGTGTGGTTGACCTGTGCTATTTAATTTCTCATGTGCTCCTTCATAAGGCACTTTGGTGGCATTGTGGTTAAGGCATTTGGTTGCTAACCAAAAGGCTGGTGGTTCGAACCCACTAGCTGCCCCATGGAAGAAAGAGATGGTCTGCTTCCACACGAATTTATAGCCTTGGAAACCCAGAACTGACTCAGTGGCAGTGAGTTTGGTTTTGGTCTGATGCTCCCTCATGGTGAGGCCCCGACCCCTCCCCAGATTAGGACAGCTGCCCCACCCAGGCATCCTCCCCACCAGGCACCCTTCATCCACTTCCCTTGTTTAACGATTCTGTCATGCTTGTTTAACGTGCTAAGTCCTTCCCACAGTCCCTTGCCTTTTGAGGGCGAGGGCTGGGTGCCCTGTCTGACCTTTTCTCCCCGGTGTCTAGCACAGGATCAGTGCTAGTAAACTACTAAGTAAATATTTGCTGAACGAATAGATAAATAACGAACACATGAATGAAGGCTTTGCCTCTTCACAGTCCCTGCCCCAGGGTCACTGAGCAGTGAGCCCGGTAAGCACTGCTGCCTGGTCTCTCAGTCTGGCAGCCCGGAGCGGCCCGGGAGCAGGGACACAGCCCTCTTGAGAGCCGGGTGCCTCAGTGCCAGCCCCTTTGCTGACCCTGACAGCTGGGACCGGCCCCTTGCCAGATGCTCTTGGGGGACCTGAAATCAGGTGGGGTGAAGCAGAACCTCATGACACCACAGACCAAGGTTAAGGGGCAAGGTCACTGCCAGAGATGCCTGAGCTCAGAGGACCCAGCACTCAGGCTGGGTCAGAGATGGGCACCAGCCATCTACCAGCCTGGGGACCCTGCCTGCCCCCTCCCCAGAGCAGGAGCCTCCTGGGGGTCATGCTATCTGGAGCAGTAGCCACGGTGTAGGGTAACATCTCCAGGCTGGGAGCTGAGATGTCGCAACGTATGTGACTAAGCAGTTTGTGACTGTTTCCTGTCCAGCCAGCCAAGGTTCCCGCGTGGGATGGCCTTGGAGAGGAGGGACAGCACGGCGCCCCAGCCAAAGTGGCAGCCTGTGTCTCTGCCACTGAGGAGTCTATCACAGGGGAGGGAAGGACACAGGGAAGAGTTAACCACAGGGAGGACGTGGGAAGAGAGCTGTCACAATGTGGGGAATTGTAGTCAATGTCACGAAACAAAACGTGTATGAACTGCTGTACGGATAATGAACTTGCTCTATAAACGTTCACACAAATCACACACATATGCACCAAAAGAACAGGGAAGGCCCCTTCTCCTCTGTGACCCTCACCTATGTTGCTGTTTCCACCTCTATGATGGGCGAAAGGGCAGCTTGCATTTGTGCAGTGGGTCCCCTGTTTTCAGATTCCATGAACTGACACATTTCAGGACAAGCTAGGGGACAGGCACAGTGTTGTCACCTTCTTCCTCTGTCTACTATAGAGTGTGCTCACCACTGACACCAGGTCCCCTCTGGAGTTTTCCATTCCAGAGCCGGGCGATCGTTCCAAAACATTACAGGTGTCTGCTCTCGGCCCCCTCACCACGCTTCCTGCTGCCTCACGGCCACCATCCCTGCCACTGACCCTGCTTGGAAAGCTTCTCCTTCCCCACTTGGCAAACTGATCCCTCTTCAACCCCCCCAGCTCTCAGGCAAGTGTCAATGACCTTTCTGCTTGGTTGAAGCTGGCCAGAGGTGCTGAACCCCACCCGCCTCCACCTCACAGCATGTGTTGTGTTTGTGCTTTCGTAGCTTGTTTGATGAGTTGATTAGTGCAAACTCCACGTGGGCAGGGGCCATGTCTGTTTGGCTTCCCACTGTATCCCCAGCACCTGATCCAGGCTGAATGTTGTTAGTGCTGGGCAAATATTTGTTGAACGAATGAATAAATCATGAATGGACCTTTCAATGCCAAAAAAGTAGGAAGGGCACACACCAAAAATAAGTAGGAGGGCCTTGAAATGGAACAGTCACCTTTTGCAGAGGTCCCTCCGCACAGGTCCTTATCTTTCTCTGATTGCCACAGATGGGACAATCAGGGCAAGGACCTTCTGGGAAGCTTGGCCCTGCTCCACCATCTGAGCGATTCGGCGGTCAGGACGGGACGTCAAACGATTTCACGCAAGGAGGACAGGGGACAGTTTTCGCTTCTCTACTCTTTTGCTACCATCAACCAGGAGTCACTCAAGACTCCCTCACAGAGCCCAAGGTTAAAGGGTTCATTAAAGAACCCAGCTGTCCCACTGGGAACCCCGGGTTCAGGATGTGAGGGAATCCCTTGATGCCAACCTCCTTGGCCAGTTTCATAACACAATAGGGCCATTTCTGTCTGCACTCCCGGAGCTGCGGTTCCTGCGACCCTGCAGCCAGTGCACTCACCTTCTGCCCTTGTGCACCCGGCTCAGGTCCACCGAGTCCCTGCTGAACACGTCAAACTCATCGTTCTGGAAGATGTTGTGACGAGATCTCAATAGGGGAGTCGGGTCTGGCTTCGCCTGTCTGCGGGCAGCACGGGAATCAATTGAAGGAGGCCAGGCCAGATGACACCCTGCTGCGCCCCACTTCCCCCTACCATTCGATGCCCATGGTATGCTTCACTCCTTTTCAATAACCACACCCAGGATACAACCTCAACAACTGTCGGGGGAGGCAGATCTGCCCACCTGGCCGCTGCCTGGGTCGGCAGCCACCCCGCAGCAAAGCTTCCCTTCCTCCCTACACGTCAGTCACACAGGTTTTCTGTGTCTTAAAAGCTCTCCCCCTCATTTAATGGTCTATAACACTATGACATAGATACCCATCCACCATTTAACTTCTGCATATCAGTGCCCTCATCTGTAAAATGTGGCACAAAGTGGCTGAAAAAGCTTGTCCAAAAGGACACAGCTAGCTTTTTCATTCATTCAGTAAGCATCATTTGTTCATGGATGAAACTCCCATTCATTCCCTCATTCCTGCTGACCCCCAGGATCTTCAGGGAAGTGTAGGCCAAACTCAGAAAGGGCCAGTGTGAGCAGCTCGCCACCCCCTGTCAGGAATCCACTGGGAAGGTGGCAATGACAGAGGCTGGCCAAGAACTTAGAAACTCAATCAAAGGCGCTCAGCAGGCCTCGTCACATGCCACGTCTCTAGCAGGTCTTCCTATAAGCATAGCAGGGATACGCAATGTGCACACTCTCTGCCCTGCAGGGACATGTGAGAACCTCCTGGGGGCCTGAGACGTGTATGTTTCCCAAAGAGGGTATCAGTTAAATTGCTGGGACACATCCTTGTGGAGACGGGACGGCAAGTGGCGTCCTTGGACATCAACAGCGTGAGTGGGAAGCCGAGGAGCTGGGAGGGGGCCCTGATGAGGCTCACTGTGCCTCCTCCCACCTGTCTAGGCTGCGGTCCAGCTGGCTGAGGACCGGGGCCAGCCGCTCCTCCAGGATGTTGTTGATCACCTGCTCCGGGTCGTAGCTGTAGTGCGCCAGGCAGGCCAGGATGAAGCCCTCTCCAAGGTCTGGCAGCAGGTCCTTCACTTGGGAGATGAGCGAGTCCAGCTCCACGCCAGACACAGCAGGGCCCAGAGCAGCAGCTGCCCCCATGCACTGTGGGGAGAGGCAGAGTGAAGGAGGGGAAGGGAGATCCTGCTTGGCCAAGTCCGGGGGTGCAGGGTAACAGGCCACGGGCAGAGAGGAAACAGTGCTGGACTAGAGGTAGGGGCTCTGCATTGAGTCCCAGCCCTGTCCCTCCTGGATGTTGGGTGTCCACCAGGTGCCTCCAGTCTCCCGGAGCCTCCATTCCCCCTCTGTGTAAAAGACGGCTTTAGACTTTGCCTCTGGGCTACTTCTGGCTGTGGGACTTCAAACAAGTTGCTTCCCGTCTGAGTCTAGCTTTTCTCCTTCAGAGAAAAGGAGGATGACAGCCCCTGCTGCCTTTTTCCACCCTTCTTATCTGAGTCATAGAAGGTTTTTATTGTTTGTTTGATCTGTGAATTTCCTTAACTTAAAAAAACAAAAAACAAATACCATTGCCCACAGAGTAGATTCAGACCAATAGCAACCTCATAGGACAGAATAGAATTGGCAGCCGGCCACCCACCCACCTCAGGAGGTTGTTTCAAGTGGTTCAAAGAGGTGGTGCACACGAGGTTTTGAGCCCCCACCAGCACTGACCTGGCACTCAGTAATCAGCATGGTTCCGTATTGACAGTGAAGGTTCCCACGGACATTGAAAGGTCCTTTTCCAGCCCTCACTAGTTCAAGACTAATGTCAGGGGGAAACAGCAACCACCACACATGGACTGCACAGAGAGCCCCCTGTTCTGGTTCCCTAGTGCCACTCTGACAAGAATATACCACAAATGGGATGGCCTTAACAAACAGCAGTTTATTCTCTTACAGTTTGGAGGCTTTAAGTCCAAGTTCAAAGTGCCAGGCTCTAGGGGCTGGGTGAGAGCCCCTCAACCTTGGGATCCAGCTCTGCCTCCTGCTTCTGGCCCATAGGAGCTAGAGGCGTTTTTTCACTCAGACAGCTGCTGGCTGCCGAGGCTGACAAACCCAAGGTTGACAAGTAAAAAGGCACAGTCTCAATGTTACCAAACCACACGGCAGGCCATTAATTTAAGTCCATTGTAAGTCCCAAGGTCAGCAGAGCATGGCAGGCTGCTGAACACGACACAGCTACATGCAGGGTCCAAGCGTGCCATAAGCTGGAGACAGTTCCCACAGCTGCTGCTTATATCCAGGAAGCAGACCACATACCCAAAGGCAGCTACTCAGCTGCTCACAGTAGATTCCACCATGGAGTTGATGACCAGTCTCATCATGGGGAATACTACATCCAGCCACCCAGCCACTCAACCAGGCCCAGCCAAGTCGGTGCAAAAACATAACCACCACACCCCCCTTGTACCCCACTTCTGAATAAAGTGGATCCACTTTACATACCGGTCCACGTGGCCAGATTTTATTAGGTCTTCTAGTGAAGGAAAGGAGCCCTCATGACACAGTGGTTAAAGTGCTTGACTGCTAATCAAAAGGTCAGTGGTTTGAACCCACCATCCACTGCTTGGGAGAAAGATATGGCAGTCTGTTTCCACAGAGATTACAGCCTTGAAACCCTATGTGGCAGTTCTACTCCCAGCCTATGAGGTTGCTATGGGTCGGAGTCTACTTGATGGGCAACAGAGTTTGTTTGTTTTTGATTAGTTAAGGAAATTCACAAATCAAACAATAAAAACCCTCCAAGGCTCAGATGAGTCATCAAATGGGGGAGGGGGGTGGGAAAAGTGGCGGGGGCCGTCATCCTTCAAGGCCCTGCCGTCCAACAGGGACCACGGCATCTGTGAACAGAGCACCAGGCCAGCTGGTGCTCAGACCTCCCCACGTGGCAGCACTGGAAATCCCAACAACCCCATGGATGTAGGGACCACGCCATCCCCACCTTACAGATGAGAAACCAAGGCTCAGTGAGTGATGTGCCCAAGGTCACAGAGCTGGTGAGAGACAGCTGAAATGTACCCAAGTTGTCTGACTGCAGTGGCTATGTGGTTTAACCTGTGTCACACTGCCTCCCAACACACAGGCAAAGTCCTGGGCTTGATGGCCAATCAGTACAGTCACAGATTTGGCTGGTTCTGGAAAACCCTTGGAGAAAATACTGGATCAGAGGTTTCCAAACGTTGTTTACTGGAACTCTGCAGTTCCACAGAGTGGCTCCCAACTGCAACCAAAGCAGCCCCATTTCTATCTGTTCAGAAGAGGCTCTGGGAAAGATTTACACGGACGCTTCACCTCTTCATTCTACAGAGGAGACACCGAGCCTTCAATGGCTCAAATGGCTTACTGTCTCCTCACATCCAGTCCTGCCCAGGAGCCCTAAGGGCAGCAGAGAGCTGACCAGCAGCTCGGGGCTGTCAATTCCAAAAGTAACCCTTTTCCCTGAGTGCAGAAACAATGAAGGGGGGTTTCCCAGCTGCCCTAACCTCTCAGATGGGGTCCGGAGGGAACAGCCCTGCCCCAGACACACACCTCCTCTTCCTCCGAGTTCTCTGGGTGTGATGGTGTTTGATTAACTGGCTCGGCCATCACCCCGACCCCATTAGGATCCTCAGCCACTGGTGGGTCTTTAGCCTCCATGGCTTTCTGTCTGTCCACCCCTTCCCACGCACTCTCGACTGCCTGGAGGATGTAGGCGGTGCGTGTTTCATCGCTACAAGAATGTTAAGGGTTTTGTCTCTCTCTCTCAGATCCCAGTCTTCTCCACCTCCCCCAGCTCTGAGGCAGTAAAATTTCTCAATCCTTCCCCAGCATCTGACTGTATCTTCTGGGCTGCACCCAGTGGAAATCAGGGATACTTGAGCCGTATGGGTAAAGGGACCAGACCGTGGCTGTGCTGTCCTCACAATCCAGCGCCTGCCACTCAACAGAATGAAGCTCTGGATCAGGCCAGGGCGAGGCTGAGCATCAGAGTGTCCTGGGACACGGTGTGCAGACCAGCCAGTGGCCCTGCCCTCTGCACCGACGGCCCAGAGGCGGCCTTGGCAGAGCTGCCACTGCCACGCATCCTGGTACCTCTGCTGTGGGCTTTCTGTAAAGGCTCGGAGCCCACAGGGTTTGCCTGAGGCAGGACTGAGCAAACCTCCTCATCCACCAAAATGGCCCACAGGCCTCCTTCTCTCCCTCTTTCCACTTGACCACTCTGGGAAGCGCCAAGCCAGAAACTGGGGATTTGCCCTAGACTTCCTCATTCCGCTTCGGTCCAGACTCCCATCATCCTAGCCTGGATGCTAGCAACACCCTTCTCACCAGACCCTGAGCCTCCACAGTGGTGCCAAGCCAGTCCACGGTCCCCCCGTGGCCAGATGGAGCTTGTCACTCCCTGCTTTACATCCTTCCGTGGCACCCCAGCGCTTGTAGGACACAGCCAGAACTTCTTAGGAAGGGTCATCCCAGGCTGGCCAAGCCCACCCCTTTCCAGCTCATCCACCACACCCTGACTTCCCCGCTCCCATGCCCAACCCCATGTTCTACACACAACTGTGGGCTCCTCCAGGGCCTGGTCTCTGTCCTCTGAGCCTTGACACTGGGAACACTCCTATCCTTGGCCTTAACTCCTCCCCTTTCTGCTGTTCTCAGCCTGCCCATCACTTGCACCTGACAGCCCATCCCAAGCTCCGTTGGGCTAGGTGCCTCCTCCGGTCTCCATGCCCTCTGAATTGTCCCACCATGGTCTCTTCATCTAGCTGCCTGTTACTTGACCGTTGCCCTCCTGCAGTGAGGTCCACGAGGGCAGGGGCTGAGTTCATCTTGGTCACAAGGCACAGACACGACACTCCATGAACACCTGCAGAGAGCATGGCTACACCTCTCCTGTCCAAGAATCAGAGCGGTCACCTCCAGCAAAGCAGGGACTGGGACCTTGGCCTGCCTCCCAGGAAAGCTGGTGGACCGCCCTCTACTCCTGTGGGACCCAGCAGCTCATCCCCGACCCGGCCCAGCCAGGCCCTTTCCCAGGAGCAGAGTTAAAGGATACAAGACCGATGAGGCCTGCTGCAGCAAGCTGACGTCATCAGCCACAGGGAAGAGGGTGTCATAGTCCCGGAGGAACCTATTGGGTACAGCATAGGCAGAAAGGTCAGGGCTGGGGACCAAAGGGACACTGTCTGCTGTGGGCCACTCCCTGTGTCTGCTACCCAACCACGAATCCCAGATGTCAGCAGGTGCCTCCCTTAGAACCGTGGTGGACATACAGCAGGGGTTCAATGACATAAGGCCCCGTGAGGACCGGTGGGAAGGCTACAGGCTGTCCCACTGCTGGGGCCCGGCTCAGCCATACTCACCTCTTCTCTTGCAGCAAGGAGCTGAAGATCTGAAGGAACTCCTCGGTGAAGCTCTGAACATTGTCACAGCTGGAACGGCACCAGCAGGGAAGATGCGATCACTCGATGTGAGACAAGCTGTACCACCCTCTCAAGCCTGCCCTCCCACCCCCCAAGTTAAAGCAAAGAGGCATTTTTCTCAGTCTCCCATTTCTGTCAGCCAGATGGGAGCCTAGAGAGGGGGAGGTGGCAGAAATGAAGTGGTAGAAACCAAGCTGGTGGGCTTGGCAAGAGGGAGGCAGCTCCCCAGGGCTCACCTGCCTTCCAGGACGGGGAGGAGGCAGACCTGGCTCATGAGGGTATGAAAAATCTCCACTACCTTCTTCCTGGAATGGGAGAGCCTCTGCCACAGGTCACCCAGCAGCCTGCCCAAACCGGAAACAAAACAAAACAAACTCACTGCCATCGAGTCGATTCAGACTCATAGCGACCCCCGTTGGATTTCCAAGGCTGTAGATCTTTACAGAAGCAGACTGCCTCATCTTTCTTCCGTGGTTTGACTGGTGGGTTAAAGCTGGTGGGTTTGACTTGCCAACCTTCTGGTTAGCAGTCAAATGCTGTAGGCACTACGCCACCAGCAGCCTGTCAAGGTCGGAGAGAAACAAGAAAGGGGGAGCTGGGAGACAAAAGGCACCAAGGAAGCTTATTCCCAGCAGCTGCAGGTTCCCCTCCAGGGGAGAGAAGCCCTCACAGTTCCCTGCCAAAAGGCTGCAGGCCCCGAGTGGCCAGCTGGTTCCAGAGCCACTTCCGATCCAGCAGTGGGTTGGGAACCAACGGGCCATTTAACAAAAGCTGGAGCAACAGCTGATGGGGAAGGCTCTGGTGCGGGGGCCGCGGAGCCGCTGGGGAGGGTGCGCAGGGCCTGTAGCCACACAGTCCTCGGCCGACCGCCTGTTTGAGAAACTGATGCTGCGGGAGCCTCAGCAAGGCCGGTGGGCGGGGCCCCGGCTCAGGCCTCCTGACACTGGGCCTCTCGCTCCCACAACATCCTCAGTTGGTCCCCGCCTTACTTGCTGTCTTCAAGTCTCCTCTTCTTAATTGCTGACTCCAGTTCGGGAATTGCCGTTTCATAAAAGGAAGCTAGTCTGTGGAGGCACACACAGGTAAAATTCTGGGTTTAGTGGATAAATACCACACTTCTATGGAAAATCAAGACAATGGAAGCAAGTGGGAAGGCCCACTTCTCGCTCCCACAAAGCTTTCCCCTGGGACGACCCTGGCTTTCCACTCCCCTGAGCCCACCACGGTGTAGCCAGCTGTGGCCGGCTCCCAGGAGCAGGCTCGTGGGAAGGACCTCTAGCTGTGTTGCCCACTCAGACAGGAAACCAAGGCCCAGCCCAGATAGGCTTGTTCTAATTGATAAACCAGCAGACCTAACTCCTTCTGTGGTATAACCAGATCTGGCACAGAGCAGCCACCCCTGCCTCTCAGCTCACGGCCCCGAGTCTCACGTTTTCCCAAACTTGTATTCCAGCTGCACAGGCCCCCACAGCCCTCCCAGCTTGTCGCAACAGCTGTGCCCCCCCTCCTTGTAGAACATCAGGGCCCTCTCCTCCCTGGGTTCTTCTTGATCACGCTGACCCATGGGGCTCACTCCTTCCTGGAACTAGGTGCCAGCACTTCAAATAGGTTGTCTTTACAATATCACATGCAGTTGCCTGACTATGAAAAGAGTTTGGTGGTTCCTCGAAATGTTAAACACCTTATTACCACATGACCCAGCAATTTCACTCCTAGGTATGGACCCAAAGAACTAAAGCAGGGACACAAGCACATATGTGAATACCCATGTCCACTGCTGCGTTACTCACACCAGCCAAAAGGTGGAAACCACCCAAGTGTCCACAGAGAAATGGATACGCAAACTGTGGTACATAACATACAATGCAATTTGATCTCAGCAGCAAAATGGAACAAAGGCCTGATACATGCTACACCACAGATGAACCTTAAAAACGATATCAAGTGACATAAGCTAGACCCAAAATATAATACGGTTCCACTTATATTGTTTCTGACTCATAGTGGCCCTCATTGGGTTTCCAAGGCTGCTGTAAATCTTTACGGAACAGACCACTTCATCTTTCTTCTGTGGAGCTGCTGATGGGTTTGAACCACCGACCTTTTGGTTAGCAGCCAAATGCCTTAACTACTACACCATCAGAGTTCCTATATGAGAAATCTAGAAGAGGTAAATTCATAAAGACAGAAACTAGACTAGTGGTTACCAGGGGCCTGGGGAGGGGAGAAAGGGAGGTTGCTTAAGGGACACAGAGTGTGGGGTGATGAAAAGGTTCTAGAACCAGTGACAACAGCTGCAAACACAGCAAATATAATTAATGGCACTGACATGTACACTGAATGATGGTTAAAACAGCAAATTTAATGTAATATTTTACTACAATTTTTTAAAAATAATAATAAAAGTAAATGCAGCTGCCTCTCCTTTGTGGCATAATTCTTCCTCAGAGTATCTGAAGCCTCCCACGGAAAGAACTGCAGCTTCAATGCCTAGGACAGTGTTGAACTTGGAGCAGGCTCTGTTGACTGACTGGCTTCTGGCAGCTTCTCTCCAGGGTAGTGCCCTACCTAACAGAAAGTAGCTAGGCAAAAAGGGGCAGGCCTTGCTAGGCCCACAGATGGCACCAGAAAAGGAAAGGGAGGGCAGTTTGGCCCCAACAGGCTCAGGTGTTGCCAGCATGCACTGCCGGTGGGAGGGTAAACTGGTGCAACCTCCATGGAGGGTGATTTGGCAAGATGTGTCCAAATGTGAAAAGCACACAGCATCTGTCTCTGGAATCCGACTTCTAGGAATTCGCTCCTCAGCTAAACTTGCAAATGTGCAAACTGACGAGTGTGCAAAGTTAGTCATTGAAGCATTTTTTGGTAATAGCTGAAAACGACCTAACGGTCCATCTGTGGGGTCTGGCACCCCTTACAATGGGATCCTGCCGAGTCAGGCAAAAAAGATCATAGCTGCTCTGTGCCCTGAACTAACCCCACCGGTGAAGAGGAAAATGCCAACAGTCTGTGTTGTCCTTATAAATGCCCACACTAAATTTTTCACAAGGGGGAAGGGATGTATAAAATGTACATTTGTTTGTACATGTTTGAAGCATTTCCAGAAAATTCCCCAAAACACTAAAGACAAGATTGTGTGTGAGGAACAGAATGGGGGAAAGGGAAGGAGAAGGCGTTTCACCATACATTATGTTTTTCGTATATAAGGAGCTCCAGCGGTGCAGTGCCTGAGGCATCTGACTGCTAACCAGAAAACTGGCGATTCAAACCCACCAGCCGCTCCGCGGAAGGCAAACAGGGCAATCTACTTCTGTAAAGATTTACCACCTCGGAAACCAAAAGGGGCCTCTATGAGTCAGAATCAACTGGATGGCAGTGAGTTTGGATTATTATTATTATTATTATTGGGAGTCTTGTGGCGTAGTGCCTAAGGCACTTGACTGCTAACCAGAAGGCTGGCGGTTCAAACCCACCAGCCACTCCTTGGAAGGAAGGTTGGGCAATCTACTTCCGTAGTGATACGCCTCAGACACCCAAGGAGGGGTTGCTATGAGTGGAATCCGACTCGACAGCAGTGAGTTTGGTTTTGGTTTTGTATTATTATTATTATTATGGTTTTTTAGTTTTGAACCGTCTGAATGCATGAAAACGTTCACAGAAGGAGGGCAGAAAGAGGGAGGGAGGGGAAGGGTTGTAGAGACTGATTAGGTAAAGAGCTAGGTCTCAGGGACTGGGGCTATGAGGTGTGTCATTTGCTGAGCAGGGTGTTCCTGACTGACCTCAAGCACAGTGTGAACCGGCTGGGCCAGCCCTGGGCTGTTCTGGGGTCAAAGGCAGCATCACTTACACGGTCAAGAGTGTCTCCCTTTCTTTGTCACCCTCAGCCCCTTCCCGACCTTGGCCTGCTCCTTCCGGGAGTTCGGCACTTCCGAAACTTGGGAAGAAGTGTTAACAAAAGGGGGGATGGCCTGGGATAAGTGAAAATAAGCAGGATAGGTAATTCTAAGAACAATATGATCTCCAATCATAGTAAAAAGCCAGAATCTGTGTAAGGTGAAAACGTGTCAGAGAAGGAAAACTCACTGGGTGCTTATGAAGTAGGTTTCTTAAGAGAAGGTCATTTTACAAAAGCGGCAAACTTGTGAGACCTAGAAAAACAAGGAGGTCCTGTCAAGTTCTGGCTCTCACAGGTTCACTGTGGCAGGATCTCTCTCATGGGTGGTTTTAATTCCCCACTCTTCCATATCTTCCAAGTTCCCTACAAGCACGCACCATTTTTCTCATCAGAAAACGCACCCTCTAAACAAGGTATCATCCACTCCCACCCCTTTATTCTGGGGGAAGTGCTGATGGGCACTTAACTCTCAACACTCTGGGCGGGCTGATCAATCCTGACATCTGTTTTCAGAAGCTGAGAAGACCAGGGAGGGGCCACAGTGCTAGCTGCCACCCTGGCAAGTGTTGGCACTAGATAAATGTTTTGGGCAAGTAAGTGACCGCATGGACAGATGGCTAGATGGATGAGTTGGGGAGTTCTCAGAAGCTCCCACAAACATTGGGGAGAGGTGCCTGGCAAAAAGAACAGGCCACTGGCTGCTAAGAACGGGCCGTGCCAGGTGCAGACTGCCAGCCTCTTCACTCTGGCCCAGGAACGCCCGCCCACACACCCCTTTCTTGCTGCACAAATAACAGACCCTCATGGGCTCAGTGAGAAAAGTAGGTCTCCCTCCCTGGCCCAAATCCTCCTCCACATCTTTCTTTGTTCCAGTGGGCTCCTTCCATGATGCCTTTGGATGAAAGCCTCCAGTGGCTCCCCACTGCCTGGAACAAAGACTTCACTCCCCGCCAGCACATTCAGGGTCCTCTCAATCTGGCTTCTGCAGACTCACCCCCCAACCCCCACCTCACTGAACGCTCAGCTCCCCGACTCCTGCCTCGAGGAACGCTCCGGATCCCCGCCTTGTGGAACGCTTCCCAACCCTTGCCTCACTCCCCGACCCCTGCCTCATGGAATGCTCCCTGACCCTTGCCTTGGGGAACCCCCACCTCCACCTCGCTCCCCGACCCCTGCCTCATGGAATGCTCCCTGATCCTTGCCTTGGGGAACCCCCACCTCCACCTCGCTCCCCAACGCCTGCCTCATGGAAAGCTCCCTGACCCTTGCCTTGGGGAAGCCCCACCCCCGCCTCGCTCCCCGACCCCTGCCTCATGGAATACCCCACCACCTGGCTCTCCCCTGAACCCCCTGGACCCTAGCATGTTCCCCTCACTTGCCTGGATGCCCTTCCTGCCCACGCATCCTCCAGCTTTCTCTGTCCAGAAGACCCCTGCTCATTCTTCCAGACCTGATTTAAGGGTGGCTTGCCACAAAGCCTTGCCTTACGTCACCAGACAGAAGTCTGCCTCCCTTGCCTGTGTTCCCAAAGTGCTTCGTAATATGACAACGGCACCCAGCCCCCGACGCGAGCGAGCACATCTGCGTTTCCCTGCGTGTGTTCTTCTCTGGACTAGAAGCTGAGTCCTCGGGGAAATGAGCACAGCCTGTTGCCTGTCACTCACTCCCTCATGCCCGCCCATGACAGGGGGCTTTGGAACAAACTAGGCCTGAAGTCAAACTCCCCTATTCTTGGTTGTCCTTTTCACCTCTGCCCCATTCCTAGCCCAAAGTGCAGGTGTGCTCCTAACATGCAGGGTCCACACAGTATCTTCTTTATGGCCACATCCCCAAGCTGGAAGGGGGCCTGGCACATTCTACTGCCCAGTACATATCTGTTGAGCGAGTGTGTGAACCAGACCTCTTCGGCCACAGTGGGGACTACTGCTGACCTGGAACAGAAGTCATGTTTCTGGAAGGTTTGGCAAGCTAAAGGGAAGATGTCCAGAAAGGCCCAGAGTGTCGTGCAGGTATCGCAAAGGTAGAGCACAATGTCCTTCAGCTCCTGTTGCCGAAAGAGAACAAGGCATTAGTCTCCCCCACCCTGACATACAGCTCTGCAAAGGGTCTGAGACACCGCTGACAAAGTCAGGGATCTCCAAACAGCAGGACACCACACACAGGGGATGGACGAGAACGCCTTACGCGTCCACCTCTAGGCTCTCGGTCCAAGCAAGCCCCTCATTTCACCCGTGCCTCAGGTCCTGCTACAATAGCTCAAATGGGCTTAAATCCACTGAGCTGTAGGATAACTCCCAGCTCTAAGATAATACGATTCTCTCTTCCAGGCCAGGGGAAAACCAACGCCTCAATCCAAGACAATGCCTGGCGTCCCACACAGATAAAGAATATCCCAGTGAGGACAAGAATATCAAGCCCCAAATTTTCTTACAGTTTAAACAGGGTATATTCTTTTGTTTTTAATTACGCTCTAGGTCTAAGTTTACAGAGCAAACTGGTTTTCTATTCAACAGTCCATACGCATTCTGTTTTGTGACATTTACTGCAATCCCCACGCTGTAACAGCACTCTTCTCACTTCCTCCTTCCGCCCACCGCTTCCCTTCCTGCTTCCTTCCCCCCACCTCCTGCCTTCCTACCTCTATCCCTGGGCAAACACTGTCTTCCTGATCTCATCTGCCAGATTGCGGAACATCTCTTGCACGCTTAATTCTCACAACTACTCTGAAAAGTAGCCTGGGTAGACCTTAGCACCCCCATTTCACAGGGGAGGAAACTGAGGTTCAAAGAGGGGAATGACGTGCTCCCACAGCACCTGGCATATTCCCTTCTGAATCACTTGGTTAAAAGCTATTTTACCCACGAGGCTGTAAGCTCCAGTAAAACAGCTCACGGCTGCCTCATTCCTGCTGGACTGCCCTCCAGCGCTTAGCACAGGGTCCAAGCTTCTTAGCACTGCTTTCTGTCTGCCATCCCTATCAGACACTGAGTTCCAGGAGGGCAGATGCTGCATCTGCTTTTACTCACTGTTTTACCCCCAGGGCCTAGCACAGGGCCTAACCTGCAGAGGGTGCCTCAGTGCTAATTCACCGAATGAATGACTCAGTGAATGAGGTATGAATGAGTCTCTCAAGCTGAACCAAGCGGAGACCAGAAGACTGTCCTGTGAATTCTTGTTCCCTGCTCTTTCCATTATCCCATCAATAACGCTCCCGGAGAGAAACTAGGGACTTGAACTGAGGAAGAAACTTCACAGTGGATACTGAAAACTGCATATGGAGCCTGCTGAAATCAGGCGAGGTCTGTACGATGGGACCAGCTGGTCAGTGAGCTGGGGAAAGGAGCCATGAACAGAAGCAGCTGTTGGGTGATTAGCAAAGTCATGTTTTTTTATGCCAGCCTCTTCAGCCTTGGGGTAGCCAGACTCTGGCTGAAGGGGACCCCGCCAGAAAGAGGCTGGGTTGTCAGGGCAACCTCACCTGGAGAGGCATGTCACTGGGGGTCAATCGGCCCTTCTCCTCGAGCTTCTGGGGTGTGGTGCAGGCCCCATCCCCTTGCAAGCCACAGTGCTGGAGGATATTGCTGAACACCTGCGGAAGGCGAGATGCGACTCTTCCTGCAGCCTGCCAAAGCAGCTAGGGCCTCGTCCCTGCAGCCAGGCCTGCTTGGCCAGGTGGGGCCAGGTGATCCAGAAACTGCTTTGGCATGCATACCAGAGTCCCAAAGTGCATATACCAGTGTCTCAGCCAAGACAATGACCTTCCCAGAAAGCAGGGTCAGGGCGGAACAAGTGCAAGATGGGGAGGATAGGAGCAACCTTCATTATGGGATTTTGGTGACACAATGGTGACAAAATATATGTAAAGCCCCTAGAATCCTACGAATTTTATCTGACTGGACAGGCGATGGAAGCACATGGTAATGAACGTTTACAGACAGACATCTGGCAATGTATCACACATTTCTGCATCCCCTGCAGATGCCTATTTGTGGGATATATATTAAAATAAAAGATAAATTAACAAAGAGGGGAAAACAAAGCCCCTGGTAAAATCGTGAGAGTGCTCATCCTGCTGTCCTTATGGAAGCCAGCATGTAATGCTTATGAAAACCACCACAAGCACTGACTATCTCCTAATGGTGGGATTATGTTGTGGTTGTTAGGTGCTGTCAAGTTGGCTCCAACTCATAGCGACCCTGCGTACAACAGAACAAAACACTGCCCAGTCCTGTGCCAGCCCCACAATCCTTGCTATATCTGAGCCCACAAGCACTGACTATCTCCTAATGGTGGGATTATGTTGTGGTTATTAGGTGCTGTCAAGTTGGCTCCAACTCATAGCGACCCTGTGTCGCTATGAACAAAACACTGCCCAGTCCTGTGCCAGCCCCACAATCCTTGCTATATCTGAGCCCACTACTGCAGCCACTGCGTCACTCCATCTCGTTGAAGGCCTTCTTCTTTCCAATTGACACTCCACTTTACCAAGCATATAATATCCTTCTCCAGGGAATGGTGGAGGGTCAACGAAAGAGAGGAAAGCCCTCAAAAAGATGGATTAACATGGTAGCTGCGGCGATGGGCCAGGCATAGCAGGGATTGTGAGACTGGCACAGGACCGGGCAGTGTTTCATTCTGTTGTAAATAAGGTCACTATGAGTTGGAGATGACTCGATGGCACATGACAACAATAAATAACAAGAGAATGGTCCCTTCCAACACATGGCCAAAGTAGGTGAGATGAAGTCTGGCCATTCTTGCTTCCAAGGAGGGTGGGATTAAGGAGGGGGATATTAATCTTTCTCTTTTTCTAGAGTTTCCACAGTGAACTTCATTATTTTATAAAAACGTTTTGTACAAATATAAAGCTCTTATTACAAAGGAATATATCTCTTAGGAGTGTATCCTTAGAGGCAGATGGCAGTTGGCAAATAACACGAACACAATCTTGCAATACACACCACTGTTCCAAGGCATATATACTAATGTCTCAGATGAGACCACGACAAACGTTTTTTGCCTAAGAGCTGGACAGGCCTTTAGAGGTTAGTCCTATTCAAGAGGGAAAAAGGGCAGATTTGAAGGGTTATGGGGAGGGGTAGAATCAAGATGGTCTGGAGATAGTCTAGACAGAGAGATAGAGGAAATAAACATTTCTTCCTGGATTTTCCAGAAATGATAAGGACCACCACCAGGTGGGGGAGAGGGAGGGTCTGCTCGTGGTCCCTGGGGCAAGGTCAAGCACCAGTACCTGAAGAATGGTGGGGATGGTTTCATCCAGGTCATTATAGTAACTTGGCTGCTGGGTAAAGATGTTTCCTAAAAAGAGAAGAGAGTGGTGGGAATTGGGGAAAAGGGTGAGGGTGGAAAGGGCATGTTACAAATGGCTGCCAGCATGTTCTGCAACCTTTCACCCTTTCCTAAGCCCGTCTGCTCTAGGAGGAGTCCTGGCCTCAGTCCCTGCTGGCACTGAGCTTTGGCCTGGCCTAGAAACTTCCCCTGGGTGTGTACGTGGAGGGGGGCTGCGGGGGACCATGCTCAGCATAACTTAACCTTTTAAGCACCTCTGCCTAAAGAATCCTGTAAAAGACCAACCCTGGTCAAACCGGCTGGCCCTGCTGTACCCTGGGAGTGATCACACCTGGGCACCGTGCCTTGTATGACAGCATTGGCTTTGGAACATCCAGGAAAATTAGGAGATAGGATCTCTATGCTCAAGAAATGTGGATGCTATAATCCAAGACTCCTGCCAGGTCATGCTTCCAAAAATGTGAGCAGATTCCAGGGAGAAATCTTTTAGGAACTGCCCTTGCTCTTTGCTTCTGCACATGCTAGCCCCACTCATCTGTCCTACTCCACGGTGAGAGGTCTGGAGGAGCCTGGACATGGATTTGCCAGCACGCTGGGGGAGGTGTTTCTAGAAAATGAAGCTCCTCTGTGAGTGTTCACTATCCTCCAGGTGCTGGTGCTACACGTGCGTAGGTTAGAGCATATGGGAACTGGAACGGAGAGCAAGTGTTCTCGCCATGCACATGCTGGACGAGGGAGGGGAGGCACAGCTAGCTGGGAACAGAATGATACGAAATGCTGGTGCCCTGAAAAAGATGCCAGGGTTCTTGGTCCCCCCTGTAATCCTGACATATAAGGCCAGCTAACTGGCTGCTAATCAGAAGGTTGGCAGTTCAAACCCACCAGCTGCTCTGGGGGAGGAAGATGAGGCAATCTACTTCCTTGGAAACCCAATGGGGATCGCTATGAGTTGGAACTGACTTGATGGCAGTGGGTTTACTTGTCTGGATGGTCTGAACTCTAGGTCTCCTCTGACTTGGGGCAGGCCTGTCCTTGGTTACATTCCTGATAACACTGTAGCCCTCATCCACACACCCTGGAGGACTTGAAAATGAATGAGATGAAAAGCCAGATGGAGTTGAGTTGAGTGAGTCAGTAAATTACTAGGTGTTGGACGGACTTTCCATAAACACCTTCCTGGATGCCACTTGCTTCCTTGATTCCACAGAAAGCTGAGTTTTACCTGCATGAGCCTGCTCGGTACTGCCCACCTCCAGATGGGGGCTGTCAGGGCAGACCATCTGTGCCCACTTCCGACTCCTGAGAGGCAAGCTGTGTCCCTATCAACCTCTGCTCTTCCTTGTAAAAAGCCTCCTATTGTTATCCTCATGGTCAAGTCCAGACGCCTGGGCACAGCACAAAGGGCCCTGTAGGATCTGGCCTCTGCCGCCACCTCCGCTACCTTCTCCCCACCCCCTACAACGTATCTTCCCTTGAACCATCTTCAACCTCAGAGAACAAGCCCCGGCCCCTTCGTCTGCCTGGAGTGACTCCCTAGTGCCAAGTGCACCATAAGCAGGTGTCGCTTTTTCCAGGCTGTGCGTCCTGGGAACAAGGACTTCTCCCACCATCATGCCACTTTACCATTTGCAGCAGCCCACTGGGCTGCCTCCCTCACAGGAAGACCCTCACAGGCAGGGCCACACTATGCTCCCCACCACAGCCCGACCACCTGGCCTGGCCCGGTGGGCAGGCAGGCACTCTCACAGTCCTTCCAGTACTTGAGTAACATGTCACATGTTCCAGCACAGATTAAATGTCACAATCCTTGAGGTCTCTGGAGTCCCTATCTCTCCTTATCTGATTCCAGTGACAGTGAAGATTTCTCTGACTTCTGATCTCTTAACAAAATAACAGAAAGGCAGGGGAAAGCAATGGCATCCATTTAAATGTCTGCTGTCTGACTAATGTGGATCAGATGCCCAGGGTGAGTGAAAGGTACTGCCAAATAGATCAGGGTGGTCAATGATTTACTCTGATTTGCAAAACAGCTCCAAAAGAGTCTAATTGACAGGCCCTGATTTCAAAATTACACTTGTTGATTCACAATACCAGCTTTGAGGTTTTGGGGGGGACCAACATGGGATTTCCAAGGCTATAATCTTCATGGAAGCAAAGCCCCCCTCCCCTCCAGCCCAACGGGCAGGGTAAGGACAGGGCTTCTGACCACAGGACCCTCGGTCTGTTCCTCCTCCCCTCCCCTCCCCGCCAGCCTCCTTACAGCCCATCTGCTCTCCCCAGGAGCTGCGGCAGTGTAGGAAGAGAAGGCTGCCCATCTCCTTGCTGTGCTTTCTCCTCAAGGGCTGGGAAGAAGGTCTGGGGACAGGAGGTAATGCCTGCAGGCCCCTTTTCTGCTCCCCACACAGCAAAGGGGCACCTGATGGCCTCACCTCTTTTCTGCAACTGCTCTCTGGCAGCTGAAGAGGTGTTCTCCTTAACAAGCCAGGGAGAATTTTTGATCTGCAGTCTGAGAACACCCTAACATACCCCAAAACATATTAGGGGGGTACAATCTATCAGGGGGTACTTTTTTGCCTGGAGAGAAGCTCCTTCTCATTCTCGAAGGGGTCGATGAACAAAGATTAGGGACTCTGACAACAGGTAGAGCTGTCCTGCTGCACCCTTGCCACCTGGAACTATAGAAAGCAAGCTCCTTGTACTCAACACATACACTACAGACCTCGTCTCTACTCAGAGCTCTTCCTCCACCTCCTGACAAACCCTCTTTCTGCAACTGACACGAATTGTCTCTAGAATTCTTAAGACTTCTCCCTCCAGCTCACCTCACCAAGCCCTGCTTTACTCTGCCTTTGTGGTGCCCTGTCCCGCTCCAACACCCAACCAGGATCTGTCTTTCAAACCCACACTGAAGCCTTAGCTTCCCACAAGGCTTCCCACCTCCATCCCTCCCGACCTGCACAATGCCAGAGTAACCTTGTTCCCAGACGGCTCCTCACCCTGCTCCCAGCTCCTCAAAGGCGCCCATGGCATCGAAACAGGGAGAGCTCACACTTACCAAGTGCTTGGAACATGACAGGCACATCACTTCCACTACCTCATAATGATTTCCCAGAGCCATCCCATTTTTTCAGATACGAAAATGAGGTTTATAGTGGTTGTTACAAATTAAAAGTATTCCCCCAAAAAATATGTGCTGTAAATCCTAACCCCTATACTTGTTAACCGAAAGGAGCTCTGGTGGCACAGTGCCTAAGGCATTTGACTGCTAACCAGAAGGATGGCAGTTCAAACCCACCACCTGCTCCATGGGAAGACGTGGCAATCTATTTCTGTAAAGATTTACCACCCTGGAAACCCAATGGGGATCATTATGAGTCAGAATTTACTTGATGGTTTTTTTTTTTTGGATACCTATTAATCAGGAGCTCTGGTGGTATAGAGGGTAAGGTATCTGGCTGTTAACAAAAAGCACAGTTGTTCAAACCCACCAGACACTTTGCAGAAGAGCAATGAGGCATCTGCTTCCGTAAAGATTTATAGCCTTGGAAACAAAGGGGGTCTCTATGAGTTTGGAATGGACTTGATGGCAGTGAGTTTGGTTTCTTCTTTTTATACCTGCAGTTATAATTCCATTTGGGAATGGGTTTTCTTTGTGATGTTAATGGGACAGTCTTAGTGTAGGGTGTATTTTAAATCAGTCTCTCTCTTTTTTTAAGTCAATGTCTTCTGAGATATAAAAGAGATCAAACAAGTAAGCGAGTAGCAGAGATGGGGGAAGAGAGATGTCAAACCACACGAAGCTCGCCCGGGAGCAGAAGCTTCAAAGAGACAAGGACTTTGCTCATAAGCTAACAGAGAGAGAAAGTCTTTCCCTAGAGCCGGCACCCTGAACTCAGACTAGTTTGTGAAGGCACCCATTTGTGGTATTTCTCTAAGAAAGTGCTTAACTGACTTGGTCAATGGGACACAGCCAGGAATAAGCTGGAGTGTGAATCAGGCCGTTCAACTTGTGAGCCTGCCCTTCTTAACCACCCAGCAATACTGCCCCCCCACGTACTGTAGCCTGGCGAAGAACCTTCCCCAGTCTGACTCAACTTCCTCCTCCTCGTGCCTCCGCTGCCACCCTCTCGGAATGCTCCACTCGAAGCAGGCTGGCCTAAGAACTGCTCCTCGAACAATCGTGCCTACTTTGGCTCACTTACCCCGTTCCTTCAGCCTATAGTAAAATTGTAAGTTTTCCCTTGAGAAAACAGAGAAATGAAGCGATGATCAGGCAATAAGCAGATTTAAGTAAGAAATAAGAGGTTGCTCCAATGAAAAGGCTTGATACTAACTTCCATATACATCTAAATATACTTTTTTAAATGCACAGAAAAAAAGACTAGAAGGAAAGAACATAGGTGACAATAATGGCTGTCTCTGGGAGAAGGATTTTACTAACTGCTTTCCTGATTCTTGATATTTTTATATTCTTCTAAACTTTTCTACCTTAACATACAGTCAAGCAAGCAAGCAAGGCTACCTCAAGGGATGACTGATGTCTGGAAGGTTGTGTCCTACAGTCTGAGTGAGCAGGATTGGCAGGGGTGTCTAGGAAGGCATGTCTCCATCATGGCTCCTATCCAAGCTGAGAGTCACAGAGGAATCTGCTGGGGTTGCAGCATCCCTATAGTGCTTCCATTTCTGATAGAACCTTCCAGCTCACTGCCTTCGGCTGGGATCCGAAGTCCAACCCTTTGACAAGCCAAGAGCTCTGCCCTCATCTGCTCTCAGCAACAATGCAGGTCGGACATCTCTGATGCCGGTTCCAACATCTCTTGAAATAGGGAGTGGCAAAGAACAAGAGCTCGGAGTCAGGCCTACACAGCATGACTCCTGGCTTGGCCACTTATCGGCCATGTCCTCTCAGGCAACTCTCTGCCACTGAACCTGTTTCCTTATCAGAGAGGGCACTCATCTCTTGGGTCAGAGTGAGGAACCAACTGAGATAACTTTTGTACAATGCTGGCCCCCTGTAAACACTCAATAATGGCTATTACTGCTTTCTTATTCCTGTCTCCCAAGTAAACATCCCCATTCCTTTAGCTGTTTGACACATGGCCTAATTCAATGACTCCAACATCCTCAAGGACAGGAACTGTATGTTACACATTTTGGTGTCCACTCCCCCACTCACATGCCTCACTTCTATCTCAGCTGACACTCATGTATCTGTCAAGAGACTTGCAAGCACCACTCCCCCTCCCACCCCACTGCTGCCCTGACCCCCTTTGCACCCACCTAGGTGCCCACCTCTGGAACCTCTAGTTTGGCACATGAGGGCCATCTCTGGGCCACCCGCCAGGCCCTGCTTCCTACCAACCTATCATCTTCTGGAGCAGTGGCGAGTTGCCTTTTCCAAAGAGCACGCAGAGGTCCAGGATCTTTGGGATGTCGAACAGGAAGTTATTGTAGATGATTTCTCCAAACACAGAAGGGGAAATGAAGTGATCCTAGAAAAAGTGCAGAGGGAAGGATGAGAGCCTTTCAACAGGCACGTGCATTAGAAATGAGAAAACCTTCCAGTCCATCAACAAGGTAACAAATGATGGTCCATCTGTACCATCAAATGGCTGAACCTCACATACTGACCTGGGGCAGCATCCACTCTGTATTTTAATGTGTGTGTGTGTGTGTGGGGGGAGCAAACTATAAAACAGTTGGTTGGGGACTCATTCTGAGGTGTGTATGGGTAAATAAGCATGATATCTGGATTGCTTTAAAATACTCCAGGAAAAAAAAAAAAAAGGAAAATCTAGGTGTGCCTGGAAGATAAAACAAGATGAACACAATGCTGGTAACTGTTAAAGCTGGGCCACGAGTGCACAGGGGCTCATCATACCTTTGCATGTGTTTAAAGACTTTCGTACTTAAAAAGTATTTTTAAAAAAGCAGGCTCCTATATGGTAACTCTCAGTACTCACTGCTCAATTTTTCTGTGAAACTAAAAGTACTCTAAAAAAATAAAATCTATTAAAAAAAAAAAAAGCAAGATTCTATGTTTGTCTGTTCATCTGGAGCAATGGCAGAAGCAGGAAAACCAGGAATAGGAGGAGGGTATGGAATACGCTGCTAATTGCCTCCATGAATAGCTGCCTCTTTTGCCATGAAACCAGAACTGGATGATGCCCGCTATTATTACTGAACATTCGGATCCAAGATTCTAGAGCAGAATCCTGATCAAAAGGGAGAAAATGGAGAATAGAATTTCAAATTCTCATGGATTCTAGACTTTCTGAAGCCATGGGAGCTGGATAAATCCCTGAAACTACTGCCCTGAGATAATCTTTAAAACTTAAACCCAAAGTATCCCTGGAAGCCTTCTTAAAAACAAACAACAGTTTAGCTAAACTAGTTAAAAGTATCTTCCCTGAGCATTATGCTTTTTAAGAACTATCTATATGGGGTCAAAATGATAACAGCAACTCAAAAGATTAGACGGGAACCTTAGGGGGCAGTGAGTTTATGTTAATGGAGGAGGAACAACTCAGAAAAGGAGGGTGAGAATGGTTGCACAACTCAGAGTGTAATCACCGTCACTGAACTGTACACGTAGAAATGGCTGAATTAGTGTACGTTTTGCTCTGTATATTCTCAGTAGTACGACAAAATATAGGTACCCAGTTACAAAGGAGCTCTGGTGGTGTAGTACCTAAGGCATCTGACTGCTAACCAGAAGTTGGTGGTTCAAACTCACCAGCCATTCCGCAGAAGGAAGACTGGGCAATCTACTTCCGTAAAGATTTACTGCCTTGGAAACCCAAAGGGGGTCAGGTCAACTATGAGTCAGACTCTACTAGATGGCAGTGAATTTGATTTTCGAGTTTTACCCAGTTACAAACAAGGTCTGCTGCTAACTGTCTATTTAAGTGGCCCTTGTGGGTGAGTAGGAACCGATGCACACAGTTCTTATTTAGCCTTACTTCAGTGCAAGAGAAGGCGCTCTGCTGGTCTAGTGGTTAAAGCACTGCACTGCTAACCCAAAGCCCAGTGGTTCAAACCTATCAGCTGCTCTGTGTGAGAAAGATGTGGCAGTCTGCTTCTATGAAGACTGACACCTTGGAAACCCTATGGGGCAGTTCTACTGTGTCCTATAGACTCACTATGACTAGTCAACTTGATGGCAGTGGTTTTGGTTTTGGTTAGTCCAAGAGAAAGCGCTCTAGTGGCACAGTGGTTAAGCGCTTGGCTGCTAACTAAAAGGTTTGAACCCACCAGCCACTCTGCAGGAGACAGATACAGAAGTCTGCTTCTATGAAGATTCACAGCTTTAAAAACTCTATGGGGCAGTTCTCCGCCTTACAGTGTCACTATGAGTCAGAATCAACCTGATGGCAGTGAGTTTGGGTTTTGTTTTTAGTGGGAGAAAAGGCTCAAAGCCTTTTCAATGATTTCAAAGCTGCATATGCAGTGATGAAGAATTCATTGAGAGCAGGAGTTGGTTCAACTGTCTCAAAGTGAGGGCAAATTTACATAACATTAAAAGGCAAGCAGGAGCTGTCCCTAAGTCTGACGTTTGTAACCTAGGGACTGCCTGTAAATTTGTTTAAAATCCTATTTTTGAAATAACTTCACACACATATATATACAAACACACTGAAAAGAAGAAAACATTCCTGAAGGAGCATGCCCCTTCCAAGTGGTTATTTCGGTGAGGAGGGAATTCTGTGGCTGGCCTTCACTGTTGACTTACTGCTGTAATGCTGAAATTGTTCAGAGACAGCGTTACTATTTTAAAAGTCAGGAAGAAAGAGACAGTAGACTTTTGAAAAGCACATAAAAGTTTCTTTAAAAACTCAGAATCAGTGTTCCCATCCTGTGACGCACGATAAAAGTGCAGTCACACGTCAACTGGCAAAGAGCCTTCGGCTCCCACTGAAGAGAACACTGGGTGTAACACAGACCTCCAGGTGAATGAGAGAATAAGGGCTGAGGCACAGATTTCCGCCCTAATGGTGGGAATAAAGGCTGAGGGGAGACAAAGAGGAAACTCGATGCTTCCAGAGCCTTAATTCCCAGGGGTGGCGAGTCTGGGACAGAGGTGTTGGGTATCAAGTGGTGACCTGTCACAGGATCAGGGCCTTACTTTGGATTCCTTGTGAGTGGACATGCGGAGGAAGGTGAGAAAAACGCTTCGATGGAGGTGCTTCTGCAAGTCAGCAACCTCAGGGCCTGGGGCCACCCACTCATCAAATTTCCGGGGGACATAACGAAGGTAGGAGTCCAGGCACTTCTGCAGGGTCTCGTCAAAGATAACCTAAGTCAGGAGACAGGAGAGCAAGGGTTTACCTCTGAGGCCTGAGGGCTTGCAAATGTAGGAGCTCACGGCCCATCAGCCCTGGCCTATGGCAAACACTTCAATCCCTGGGGACCAAGGAGTTATGAATGAGCCAAGGGCTAAACACAATATTCTAAAAATGACACTTTGGAAGGAGTTCTATAAACATCATTACGATTGCGACATTAAGACAGCACAATCCAAACCACAATTTGTTATTAAGGATCCAGTGTAAGAAGTAAGACAAAAAAAGTAACTCCTGGGAGGAAAAATAAGGAGCTCTGGTGGCATAATGGATAAGGCATTTGGCTGCTAACCAGAAGGTCAGTGGTTCTAACTCACCTGCTGCTCTGCAGTGGGAAGACGGGGCGATCTACTTCCATAAAGATTTACCACCTTGGAAACCTAATGGAGGTTGCTATGACTCAGAACTGACTTGATGGCAGTAAGTTTGTTTGTTTGTTTTTTGGGAGGCGGGTGGAAAAATACAACAGCAACCAACCAACAGCATGTCAGTGCACTTTGTCTTAGTGTTAATTTTGATGAAATGTTACCTGGCACCAGAATTTATCGTGAGGCAAAGCCAGAAGCCAGTCAAGGTCGTTGACTATGAAGGTGGCACGTTCCAGATACTCCTCCACAAGGGTGGGAATGTTGTCTTCAGGGGGCGGTTTGTATAACACAAAATACCGGTCTGCCTTCTGCTCGGGGTGCTACAGATCCAAAAACCACATGTTAACGTGGCAGAGGTTAGTCAGCGAGGGCCCATTTGCCAACCCACAGTAATGACAACACTTGGCTGTTCCCACCGGTGACCCCCAAGGGAGCTTTTAAGCATAAAGGATCGAGTGTATTTCACAAAGAGGGCATGGTTGCTTCCAGGGAACACTCGGCAGTCAGTGGAAGACACGATTTTGAAGAGTATTTAATGATGCAGGGCAAGGTTAAGCAGAAAAGAAAAAAGCAGGCTTTTTAATACAACCAGTTTTTTGTTTTTTTCAAAGTATATATATTGAACACAGTCATACACTGGTATAATTTTTCAAAAAAGAAGTGGGGAATTACACCAAAAAACTAATAGCAGGTATCTCTGAAAGGTGGGATTATGGCTTAAACATATTTTCCAATTTTTCTAAACAAACATATATTACTTTTTAAATTGATTTTCAATTACACAAGCATCTTTTCTTTCAAAAATTTCAAATAGTACAGAGAAGGTGAGTCACCTGGGACCACAGCCTACTGGAAGTAACCACTCATCATCCAGTATATGCACGCAGATCTTCCTGGGCATTAATGTTGAGTCTCTTGTTTTTCATTCTCATGCAAATAGCATCATACTGTATGTATCATTACATTATGTATGTTGTACCCTTTTTATAATTACAAAAAAGCTCTGGTAATTTTCTTAAAGAAAAGATTCTAAGCAACTAACTGAAGGTCTCAGAGTCATCAGTTCTCTTCCAACCCTTACCTTGCTTGCCATGAACAAATCCTACTTTGTTCACCATAAAGAGGAGCTGATGAGCTCAGTTTTCTCCTCTGACTACATAAGGGCTGCTTTCTCTGGGGGAAGTGGTTACAGGAGGAAGGCCAGGCAACATCTCAGCTGTTATCAACCATAATCCACCTACTTCCAGGACACAGGAAAGACCTTTGCAAGTACTACCTCTGCCTCTCCTGTCTAATGCAAGTTTTCAAACTGGACTTTTGTAGCTCCACAAGACTTCCTTGGGGGCCGCCTATCAGGTAAGTCTTCAGGACTCTCTCCCAATGAAGCCAGAATTTATATAGTGGGGTTCCAGGTACAGATCTGTTTGAGAAAAAAGGTATTCTGCTGATTGAAACCAGTTAAAAACCACTATCTAGAGGCTAACCTCATCTCCTTGGCCTTCAAGCTCTGCTCTACTCCAATCTACCAACACCTCACCTCTCAGGCCAGCTTGTCACTTTCCTCTGCCCCCTAACATAGACGACACCCTCCCTCGAGATGCTACCTTCCCTAAAGTCCTGCTAACACACACGGGGAACCTGCTGTGCCAGGTGCAGTGGAACACGTGCAGAAAGCATCCAGAGCTCACAGTGCCCACATTGCAGACAGAAGATGCACACAAACCACCCAATGAGCACAAAGCAGAGGAACCGACCACTCAAAGCCTAGCAGAGGGACACGGGGGTGCAGATGGGAATGAACTACAACTGGAGGATGAAGGACAGCTTCCCAGAGCAGGCGGCATCTGGCCTGGGCCTTGGAGGATGAGGATTTTTGGATGAAGGAAACAGCATTTTTACGCAGGAATGAAAATGAGTCAGCGTAACTATGGCACACATTGCACTGGGCGGTGGGAGATGGATTGGGAGGGAGAGAGTGCTGGAACGGTGATGACAAAGCCACCACTTATTGACGACCTGCTGCATGCCAGCTGCTGACTAGACATGTCCACAACCTTTCCCCCCTCCCCCAAATCTACAATTATGCAAAAGGGAGACAGTACCCTCCCCATTTTACAGAGGAGGAAATGAAAATTCAGTAAGGTTCAGGAACCGTCCCAAGGTCACAGGCAATAAGGAAGCAACTGGGCAGGATTTGAACCAAAGCTTATACTGCAGACCTACCAGACAACCTACAGTTATCCGTGTGCCACCCTAGCCTCACTTTGTCCTTCTGACCCCAGCTCTGATCTCACCTCTTTCAGAAAGCTTCCCTTATTCCCACTCCAGACTGGTTTAGGGGTTCACTCCGTGCCCACCCTACTGTAGACTTGTAGACCTGCATCAGAGCTGTCTGCTCTCAGATCAGTGGCTGCTGGTGACAGGGAGAGTGGGGAGGGTACATCATAAAGGGGCACAAGGGAACTTTCGGGGGGAGTGGAAAGGTTCATTGTTTTGATTATGGCGATGGTTTCATGGGTGTGTGTATAGGCCAAGACTTAACGAAACTGTGTACTTCAAATGTGTGCAGTTTATTGTCCTTAATTATACCTCAATAAAGTTTTATTAAAAAAAGGGCCTGCTTTCTTATCTCTCCCCCACCAGCCTGTAGGTATCTAGAGGAAAGCCTTGATTACCACAGCATCCCAAATCCCAATGACAGTGCCTGGCATAATGAAGATTTTCCATACATATTTGCAAGCTATTTAAAGGGACGAAAGGAGGTAATGGAGGGCCAGATCCTGCCAAGGTCTCTGATGGACCCTGAATGCCAAGCTCAAGAGTACTGGCTTTATTCTGCAAAGACGCAGAAGGGGGCTGCATGGAAGATTTCAGAGTAGAGTTACAGCAGGACGCAGCTGTGTCCTCTCTCCTGCCCAAGTCCCATGTCACCCTTCAAGCCCAGGTAAGGTCCTACCTGCTCCATGAAATGTTCCTTCTGAACATTTTCTGTTCATTAAACTTCTATTCTATTGACCTTGATTATTGCTAAGAGGCTGTTCTGTACATTCTCCAAATGCCCAACTTGAGTCTTGTCTTCTTCAAGAGTCCACTCACCCCTTCTGGCCAAACACTGACTTTCTTTTGGATCTTCAACAGCGTGAAGTATGTGCTGTGTGCACAGTGACTATTCGATAAACACAAGCCCCATCTACCACTCTGCAAACACAGTATGGTGGTTGCCACTGCCTAAAGATCTTCTTGCCCAAAGTCAAGACTAAAGGGATAAATGTAGGGTGGGTTCCTAACTCAGGACAACTTTCAGGAGCACCCTGTGGCCTGCAGAGTAACACTTCAGATTGACCAAGATGACCCCTCAATTGGGCAGCTGTCTCCCTCAGCTTGTCCCTCTTCCTACCCGTTGATCAATGCTTCTATTACTGTCATTATTATCATACCCAAACCCAAAAAGCCAAACTTACTGCTGTTGAGTCAAATCCGACTCATAGTGACCCCCCCCCTTGGGCTTCCGAGGCAGTATCACTACAGAAGTACATTGCCCAATCTTCCTTCCGAGGAGTGGCTGGTGGGTTTGAACTGCCAGCCTTCTGGTTAGCAGTCCAGTGCCTTAGGCACTATGTCACCAGAGCTCCCCATCACTATCATAACTACCATTTATTGACTATTTCCTATGTTCCTGCCTGACCAATTCTCAGATATCTCCTTTAATCCTCACAAACACTGCACAACACTGGTTCTTCTATTACCCTTTTTGGATCCTGGGGCTTAGAGAGATTCAGAAACTTGTCCAAAGTCACATAGTCAAGTAGGTGTGAGATTTAACACCTAAGCCTGTGTTCTTTAATTCTGCTATCTTGCTTCCACCCTAAGTGACTTGTGGGTCCCATCCTGGCTCCCCAGCTTACCTAGTTCTCTGCCCTTCAACAAAATTTCTCTATTCCTTAGCTCCCTCACCTGTAAAAATTACCTACTTATAGGGCTGTGGTACAGCTTAGATGAGATAATCCAGGTGAAGTGTTTAGAACAGCTTGGCAGGGAGCACGTGCTCTATAAATGGGAGGTACTATTATTAGAGGGTAATTTAGGAAGTAATAAGAAGCCATCCAGAAGGCAGGATAAAATACCAAGCTCCTATTTCCCACGACTTTACTCAAGCCCCCAGAAAATACTTCCTCCCACCTTGCTCCAGTAAGCTCATATTCTTGGGAAAACAACAAGCAGCTATGGGGACTCCAGTCCCTGCGTCTGTCTCCTTCTTCAGCAGCCTGGCACCTCTCCATGACTCTAATCTCTCTGCCACTGGTAACCGGCATGTTCACAGCCTCCGTTTTCAGTTTCACAAACCCTGCTGGAGGCTCTGGACATGGGCTTCTTACCCAGTGGAGATAAAAGTAGGGCCCAAGCTCTGAAATCAGGGTCCTCACCAAAGTGTGGGGAGCAGCTTAAAGGTTCTGAAAACATCCTGCCTGAAACCTGAACGATGCCCCCAGGATCAAACCCCTATCCTGCTTCAAACTGGATCCGCTGCCAGGCCAGCTCAGCTCAATCAGAACTGCCACCCACCTCTTAGTCAACGTTAAATGCTTTGAGGGGACGGTATGCGGTGGCGACATGGGAAATACTGCTCAAACTCAAACTCAGAAGGAAACTTCTTTACTGGGCCTGGAAGGACTTATGGTATCCCAGCTACTGAATTACCAGCCAAGGCCCTCGGGTCATTCTTGGTACAGATAAGGAAGGAATTTACTTTTTGCTTCTGAAATTGCAAGCAAGATAATATCGAGCTGAAGGGCCTCAAGGCACCGGCTCACCAGAGCTGGTGAAGTCCTCAGCTTTCCTGTCTTCGGGTCCTTGTGGGTGATCTGGAGTTCGTCCAAAGGCAGAGCTGGCATTGTGCTGTGTGACCCCTCCTGAAAGGAATATGGTTGGGAAGAAGAGAGTAGGCACCCAGGCTCCCAGGGGCAGGGGCCTGCTTAGGGCTGCTTCCTGAGCCCAGAGAGAAACTGCAACCTCAAGCCGGGCTCTGGACTTGGGCCTCATTTACATACATAGCAATTCAGAGTGAAATATTTTTTTTTTTTTTAACTTTATTCTACTTTTTCTTTTTTTAATTTGTATTGTGATTTGGGTAAAAGTTTACAGAGCAAATTCTTTTTCCATACAGCAGTTCAGACACATTTTGTTTCATGACATTGACTGCAATTCCCCACAACGTAGCAGCTTTCTGCCCACTTCCTCTTTGTAGTTACCTCTTCACTGTGTCCTCTTTTCTAACTCACAGTGACCCTACAGGGAAGGTTTCCAAGGCCATAAATCTTTATGGAAGCAGACTGCCCACCACATCATTTTCCCACAGAGCGGCCAATAGGTTCTAACCACTGACCTTACGGGTAGCGGCCGAGCACTTTAACCACAGTGCCACCAGGGCTCCTTTAAAATAAAGTACCTAGATGTTCTGGTAGCATAGTGCCTAAGGCATTTGACTGCTAACCAGAAGGCTGGCGGCTCAAACCCACCAGCCACTCCCTGGAAGGAAGACTGGGCAATCTACTTCCATAGAGGTACCGCTTCAGAAACCCAAGGAGGGGTTGCGGGTATACGACTCAACGGCAGTGAGTTTAACTAGAGCTCCGGGTTTCCAGCCTCCGTGGCTTAGGTGAAGACAGGGCCCAGGTCTCTTGTCTCCCCCTGCCTCTCCTGTGATCAGCACGGGCCTGGCACAGAGGCAGCCTCATCAAATGTCTAATGAACCACTGAATAGCAGGGTTCTCCTAACTCTAACCAGATTTTCAGCTTTTTGAGAGTGGGAGATATGGGCCTTTTCTCACTTGTAAAACTAAACCAAACTCACTGCCACTGAGTTGATTCCAATTCACGGTGACACCCCCCCCCCCCAACTGGGTTTCTGAGGCAGTAAATCTTTACGGAAGTAGATTGCCTCATCTTCCTTCCCATGAGTGGCCGGTGGGTTTGAACCACCAACCTGCTGTTTAGCAGTCAAGTGCCTTAGGCACTGCATCACCAAAGCACCTCTTCTCACCTGTAGAGGGTATTAAAACTTACAGTCTCCTTGGCTTTCAAAACAAAAACCCAAACTCACTGCCACCAACTCAATTCTGACTCAGCAACCCCCACTGGGTTCCCAAGGCTGTAAACCTTGGGGAAGCAGACAGCCCCATCTTTTTTCTATGGGGCAGCTGGTGGGTTTGAAGCACAGCTGTCAAATGCCTTAACCACTACACCACCAGCCTTTAGGGAAGAGATGATCATTCCCATTTGCCAACAAGGACATGGATGAACAGAAAGTTTGTGAGTGCACCAGGGAACCAAAAACCAAATCAAACTCACTGCCGTCAAGTCGATTTGACTCATAGCAACCCTCCTTGATTTTCCAAGGCAGTATCTCTACAGAAGTAGATTGACCAATCTTCCTTCCGAGGAGTGGCTGGTGGGTTTGAACCACCAGCCTTCTGGTTAGCAGTCAAATGCTTTAGGCACTACACCACCACCAGGGAGGAAGACAGAATTCCAAGAAGCTTGCCAGGGTAGGTTTCTTTCTCCAGAGGCCCAAACTGGCCTCAGAGCCCCTGAGCAGCAGACCCCAGTCTTCTGTCTTCCTGTCTAACTCACTTTTAGCGATACCACGCAACCTGCCCCATAGGAAGGACGAGCAGGTTGACAAGTCATAGAATTGAAATGAATGAAGAAGGCCCTTAAGAGACACTCCATGAAAGGCCAGCAAGTTCTCAATGACAACATGAAGACAGAGAAGCTGGGTGGCAGAAACCATTATCTCCGAAGTACTCCCAGGAGAGCTGAGGAGGGGCGGGGCAGTCATGAGTTAACCAGGTGTCCCATATCTCAGGGATGGAGCCAGGTCTTGCTGATCTGAAGACAGACTGATCAGACAAGGTCTCTGCCCTGGAGGAGCTTAGGATCCAACAATAATAACAGTGTGATAACAGTGATAACGAAAATAGCAAGGAGTAGCAACAAGAACATGCCTCTGGGCTAGGTGCTCTAAGTGCTTTTCCTTGCATTAATTCACTTTGCACATTTTAACTCATTTGACACATATTCATGCTCACAACTCTAGGATTGGTTCTATTATCACTCCCATTTTATCAATGAGAAAACAGAGGTTCAGATTGGATTAAAAAACCACCAAGGTCTGTCAGTAGTGGTGAAATAGGCTGGCTCCTAACCATTTCCTATATTGCTTTTAAGGAGCTCTGGTGGTGCTAATCAGAGGTTGACGGTTCAAACACACCAGCCACTCTGCAAAAGGAAAAGTGTTCCGTAAACATTTACTGCCTTGAAAACCCAATGGGGGTCGCTATGAGTAGGGTTTGGTTCTAAGCTCTGGTGGTGCAGTGCCTAAGGCATTTGCTTGCTAACCAGAAGATTGGTGGTTCAAACCCACCAGCTACTCTGCTGAAGGAAGAGAGGGCCATCTACTTCCTTAAAGACTTACAGCCCCAGAAACCCATCAGGATCACTAGGAGTCGGAATCGATTCAACTGTAGTGAGTTTTTTTTTTTTTTTTAAATATTGTCTCCAGATTAGTCTAAGGAGCTCTGGTGGTGCAGTACCTAAGGCATGTGACTGCTAACCAGAAGGCTGGAGGTTCAAACCCATCAGCTCTCTGTGGAAGGAAGATGGGGTACTCTATTTCAGTAAAGATTTACAACTATGAAACCGACCGGGGTCGCTATGAGTTGGAATCGACTCAATGGCAGTGACTTTGGTTTTTTATTTTTTTTTAATTGCCTCTAGTTTAGTCTAACTTATGGGGGCTAATTGTCAGGAAAAGATTTCCAGGGGAGATGAGGTAGAGTTAAGTCTTGATGGGGGGGGGGTTGGTCAGGGCAGAAAAGGGGAGTGAAGGGTGGTGCCCTAGGCAGAGAAAACACGAAAAACAAAGGCAGAGAAGTGGAACCAGCTTGGTACACAAAGAACCTTGGGTTATAGTCTGTTTTAAAAACTGTGAAGATTCTTATCCTACAGGGATGTAAAGAGAGGGGATCATTCTCGTTAGTCTCTGAGGCCTGTTTCACCTCCATGATCCTAGTGGATCCAAGACCCAGGCCCTGTACACATGAAATAGCCTGAAAAAAGAATCACAAGGCACCACAAGGCAAGTGTCCAGGGCGAATTATCATTTTCCAGCTTTGCAAAGCATAGTGAATGCCCTCTGCAGCGTGTACCTTGTTTCTAACCATGTTAACTATTTCAGTAGCCTCTCACAACAACGTTTTTATGGACAAGGATTATTATGCTCAAATGTCCAAAGTGGGCCCTGATTTGCTCAAGGCAAAAACATTAGTGACCAAGTTGAAACTGAAGCCCAGTTCTTCTGCCTTGGCACCCGGGGTTCTTCTGTTGAACGTGCTAAAAATACTCCTTTCTTAACCCTCTAGCGATGCTGGAAGCTGCAGTGGTCTCCACACAACCACCAGTTCAGAGAAGTCTAAATGACTCACAGGCCAGTTCTTTCCACGCTCACCTGCTGTGGTGAAGCGAGTTCCAAGTTCCAGTTCCTTCGTGTAGCCTTTTTTGCCTTACTTCTTTAGAACAACAGCTGGAGAGATTTTCCCCCTAAACCCTGAGGAGTTACCTTTGCTCTAGTTTTCTATTCCAGAAGGTTACTTTTCTCCAGGTTGACTGACATTTCCAGATGGTTTGATACTTTCTGCCAGGCCCTGGGCAGCAGCCTGCCCTGTGATTGCAGGGATTGGTCAATACACTATGCAAATGATATGAGTTGTAGCCCACCATGCAAATAAAGTGTCTGTGGACTACTGAGAAGGGTGTGTGCACCCTTCTCCCACTGGGAGGGGCTGTGCTTTGAAACTGACAAGGAGTTGTACCCAGAAGCAGCCAACCCCACAGAGGTTTGGCAAACAAAAAGAAGCAGGAGGAGAAGCGGAAGGAAAAAAGAAGAAAGGAGGCATGAAGCCTTCTAAAAGAGCTGTAACACTGAAGACAACGACAGGCCCAGAAGGGGCTCAGTGGCAGAGCCTGAGGGGGCCAAGGGTTTTACAGTGAAAAGAGCCTCGGAGTGTTATACTAACAATTGTGGCTGTTCATCTAAGGCAGTGAGCGGTCTTTCAAGCAGGGGAGGAACACAACCAGAAAAGAGATGACCTGGTGGCAGGAGATGATAACCGGGAGGAAGCCTACACAGGAGAGCAGTGCTGTCCTGCACTGAAGAGAGGAGATTTTGCCTCCATGCATCCTGCTCCTGCTCCTGAGTTAGCCTGTTCATCCTGATCCAAGTCGTACTCTGTTCCTTAATAAACCACTTAACTGTAAGCGTAGTCTGCAAGTTCTGTGTGGCCACTGCAATGGATTATCAAACCAGGAGAGAAGTAGGGAGCGCCATGGGGAGGATGGCTGGTGTCAGAATCAGTGAAAAGGTTAGAGAGTGGAGGTGTGTCTGGCCACTCCACGGGAATCAGCATTGGGTTGGTCCTGGTCATTATCCCCACCCCTACCCTCCACAGTTAGACAGGATCTGACGCTACTATTACTATCAGTTTACACATGCCAAAAGATGATGCTGGGAGTGTCCAGTGTGGGGCTCCCGGGTGGGGAAAGCCAAAAGGAGGAGCAACTTCTCTACTCTTTAAACACAGCTCAAGCCCCCCTTGCCAAAAGAAAAAAAAAAAAACTCCAGACGAATAAAGATAGATAGCAGTTGCCTTCAGAAAATACTGACTGAATACATTCTGGACACATGGTGTGGTTAAGAGACATCACAGAGGAAATTTCCACAACTGAAGCACACAGAGAAAGGAAGTTCTACATGGGAGTACATCACAGAGAAAGCAATCTATGACCTGGGTCTTGAAGGAAGGATACAAGGGAAAAGGGCATTCCAAAAAAAAAA